TTCCAGAATCTGTGGAAAGCTCCCAATTCCTCGTAACTCCATGTCTTGCCACAAACATCTTTGAACTTACCTCATATACAAAGACCTTTTATGATGGCTCCAGAAAGAAATGAAAGGTTGATTTGTTATGACCTATGATTTGCTCTACGTGGTAAATTAGTACTATTGCCTATTGAGAGGTAGTCCAAATACTTAAAATTGAAGCACAATCTTCTCTTTTATCTAGTCTGGGTTTCTTCCAGCATGTTCTGTTACAGAGCCTGTTAATGGAGTAAGTAGCAGTTCTGGGTCCTTCCCCTTACAGGTCTTGTTTGTTGCTTAAAGATCCGCTGTGAGTGGAATAGACATGGGTTCTGAACCAAAGGTACCTGGAAGTGAGCGCTCCAGATGTGGAGCCTGATGTCTTTATTTCATTAGAAGCAAATGTTGGAACATAAATAATTCTTCGCAAAACTTGTGGAAGAATTTTAATCTCTTTACCAGTGCATATACTTTATAGAAAATTCTGGTCATTACCAAAATCAATGAATAGAAGGTTGAATAGTGAAATGTAAGTGCTTAGATGTAGTGATTACAGAATATTTATTGTTTATTTTTGCTCTGCAGCCTCCGCCTCAGATATATGACAAACAGTTGGATGAAAGAGAACACACCATTGAAGAATGGAAAGGTGAGTCTACTGCTTAAAGTAAACCTTTTGATCTATTAAAGCTCAGAAAGTATATGCAATTTTTTCCCTTTAAAATAATTTGCTAACAATTTTCCCATCGCTATCTCCTTCTTGGAAATTTTTCAGAAGTTCTAAAACATCATCTGCCTTTCTATATGAATAGCAATATTATATTTGGTCAAAATTGAAGTGAATTATTAAACCTTTAAAAATAGTACTGCTTGTCAACATATGCATGTTTGTAGTGGAGCAAAGCAAGCTTTAAGGTAATTAAAAATTCAGTGTTAAACTTTTTCATTTGTGCATAAAATGATGATATAAAATGAATCCAATTAAAATTGGATCTGAGGTGGTTTTTAGACATTAAAGTATAGAACACATGTAAAAAATACAGTCATTTACTGGACTTATGGTACTGTTCAGGGAATGAGAAAATATGTATCTAAGTGGCTTATTTTCTCATCAAAGATAAAATGGGAATGAATAAATGCATTAATTTTTTAATGGAAGTTTTCCCACAACATATTGTATTTAGACTATACTAAAGGTAAAAAAAAGAAAAGTCAAAATGATAAAGAGCAGCGAAAAAATATAAAACCACAGTATATAGTACCCACAAGTAAAATAAACACAGTTCCTAATAAATTATCTGGCTAACATGATGAGGAACATAAAGGTAGGATCCAAGAGGAAGGAGCTATTGAGCTATTTTAAAGGATTTCATAAATGTAAGTTGATGATGAAAAAAATTTTTAATTGGGTGAGCATACAATGAAAGCAAAGGGTAACAATAAGCAAAATGTGTTTACTACAAAGATAATAAAAAATTTTTCCATGGGCCATGGAGTCATGCTTGAAAATATACCACAAAGAACCTTATTTATGCCATTTAGTAGTTGAACTAAAAGATTTTGAATGATAGATGAAAAATCTTGCTTTTCTCTAAATAAGAAATAGGTAATATGGTATTATAGTCCCATTACTGGAGGAAAATGCAGATGAATGTGTGAGAAAATGGGGAACGAAAAACCTAGAGAGGATGTTATGTGAATCATGAGGAATTGCAAAGCAAGAAATTATTGAACTAAAGGAGGTAAAATAAACAGTCATGGAAACACTCTAGCCGGGAAGAAAGCCAAAAGGCATGTTCATTGCAAAACGAAATAACCCAGTTTAGTCTGTTGGGATTTGAGTGAGGTGAGATTTACAAATCCAAGATTGGAGTCTGAAAAGAAGATGAAGGAACAAGTGGAATATGACGAGGATTCTAATAGTGTGTCTTCATGAGAATATGTGCCCCCTTCTGGAGGACATATAAAAGCGAAAACACCTCTTCAGAACCAGAGTCTTCAACAATGAGCTCACCGAGAGCCAACGGCCAACATTTACCCGAAGAAAAGGTGGGAAGGAAGGCGGGTGGGCAGCGATATCAAGGACAACAGAGCGAACAGAACGGAAATGGCAACAAAGGGTGCCACCAATGGCAATTGTGAAAGGGGAACCTAATTGGATGTGCAAACTTCTGTCAAAAACAAAAACTGAGCCACTGACCCTCCTTAAGAGATAAAATAAGAATCCATCAGGATTCCCGAAAGAATTCAGATCATCATTACGAGATGCAGTCCTCATTCTCTCGCGTGTTTTTAATTGAGCATGCGCTCTGTCCTGCTCTCTGTGGTCTTTGCAATGCAACGAGAAAAAGGAGCAAACAAGGAACCATTTAATTTTCATGTAGTTCACCTCATTAAAACGTCATGCTTGTCACTAATACATTTGCTATGGAATAAGAACAGACTTATTTTTGAATGATACTGATAACTCTTATCTTACAGAACTGATCTACAAGGAAGTAATGAATTCAGAAGAAAAGACTAAAAACGGTGTAGTCAAAGGCCAACCTTCTCCTTCAGGTACTCACTCTCAGTGAATGAACAGTAAGCCCATGCTCATTGATTTTTCTTGGCTTTGGAAAAGAAAGCCAGTCGCGTTGCTTATCAAGCACAATGCACAAATATCACATGCTTCTCTATACTGATTTTCGTTTTATTCCCTTTGCTCCGTGAGGCGGCATTCATTCAGAGTATTCTGTGATGAGGACTGTCAATGTTATCTAGTGCTGCTATTGTAGGAAGACCACAAGTGAGTGACTTTGACACAGAGAAATCTATTTTCCCACAATTTAGAAGGCTAGAATTCCAAATTCAGTTGCCCAGTTCCATGGGAAGGCTTTCTCTCTCTCTTCTCTGGGGAAAGGCCCTTGGTCGCTTGGCAGTTTTTCGTGGTGGATGGTATCATTTAGCTTTCTCCCCTTTCTGCTCGCATCTCTATGGGCCCTCTGTACTTTTAAAATCTCAAAAAGATTGACCCAGGTACACCGATGCAAATACAGCCTTAATAACATAACACAGAAAACCAGTTCCCAAGGGGCATTATGAGCACAAGTATAAGGGTTCAGGTTTACAACACATTGTTGAGATACATTTCTATCCATAACAATGACCTAGCACAAAAATATTTGAAAAACCTTAGTAATGAATGTTATAAAACCAAAAAAATTAAATTCACTTCCATGGAGTCAAAGTTAATTCAGAGTGACATGATTGGGCAGGCTGGAATGATCCCTGTGAATTTCCAGGACAGACTGTTTATGTGAATAGATGGCCCATCTTTCTCCCATGGAGTGGCTAGTGGTTTCAAGCAGTAGGTCTTGCAGTTTGCTTAACCATGACACCACCAGCACTCCTGCCTACTGGGCAACTGGTCCTTGTCTTGCCCACAGAATATAGAGGCAAGGAATTCCTCCAGCCGACTTGTTTGTTTGTCTTCCCTAAAAACTTTTCTTATTTTCTCTCTCATTCTATACACAGCCACTCTATAAAGATATTCACACATTCTCTTTTCAATATTTTCACATCTTATAAATATCCTTTTTCCTTTGATCCACTTTGTGCAAACCAATGAGGTATTCTCATGGGATTGGGAATGGTCCAAGCCAGACGTATGAATCAGTAAGCTGTTAGGATGAGTGACCTACCATATGAAATAGATGTTTCCCATTTGGGAACCAAGTGAACTTTTCACTTTATTAAATCATAAGTCTTTAGTCATTAAAATCATATTTCTCACAGTAAAAGCAAATGGGTACATATAGGAGTTTCTTTAACTTACTAATGAGGGCAAAAGAAGATTGACAAAGGTGGCCTGTGAAGCTATGACTAATGGAATTTAAATTTTAAAAAATAAATAAATAAACTCATTGTTTTCAAGTTATTTCTAACCCTGGCCACCCTGTAAAAGGTTTCCATAAACTAACTTTATCCATTTTCTCCAGTTTCCAGATGTCCCAAACCCTCTGGGGTCTAAGAAATTCTATCGAACAATGTCATGTTGCACCCTCAGCTGGCATTACAAAAGTTGTAATGACTCCTTTTCTGTTTTCACAAGTTTTTGTAATTTTTTGAATAGCAGACATGCAGGCCTGGGTTATAAATATAAGTGGAAATTGTAGTTGAATCAAAAAAGGTATAGATGGTTCTTATAGAACTTTACTTTCATGCAGGAAAAAGTACCCTGCTGGCTCTGTGGGGTAAGTGTTGAGCTATAAGGTGGATGGTTCAAAACTCTCAACTGCTTCTTGTTGAAGGACCACCTCTCTACTCCCTGAAAGATTTACAGGCTCAGAAATCCTGTATGTCTAGGGTTTATGAGTCAGAAATGACTTGTTGGCAGTGGATTTTGCTTTTAGTGCTAGAGAAGGCTGGGAGTCTTTTTACTGGCATAAAAGTTGCATGTGCAGCAAGTAAAGGTGATTTTACAGAAGCATTTGTTGCAAGGAGGGGTTGGTTCATGCTTTTCGAAGTGAGGGAAAACGCAGATAAAGATGAAGGGCAAATCGGAGCTGTCCATCAGCAGGGTGCTTGTAACAATCCAGGCTAGCTATCAGGCTGGCCAACATCTTGACGAAGTGAAGGAAATCATTTGAAATTTGCAATAAATCAATTTAAGATGAATAGAGATAAATCTTAATTTATATAGCAGTTAAAAAAATTGTTCGTGGATTCCCCGTCCCATAAGAACATCTCCCATTTCTGTGCACGGCAACTCTTTTTGCTCAAACTCCTAACCTGCACATCCAGATGGAGATTTTAGGTCATCCTTATATTACATTCAGTTTGACTGTCTTCTGTCCACTTCCTCCTCTCCCTTTTCATTCCTGCTAATACGCAGTCATCATGGGATCCAGTGGGTTTTCCCGAACTCATCTCCCCAGCTTCAGTCTTTGTTTAAATTCCTCACTCAAAATCAGAAATCTGATCATCATTTCCCTAAAGTCTTATATCGC